GCCCTAATCGGGGCACTCCAAACGCAGTACCACACATTTACAAGCCCAAAATTAAAATTATCCCACAACTACCAAACACACAAAAACGCGTTCTAGGACTCATTTTGTACAAAAGTACCAATTTTCGCCCCAATCGGTGCACTCTAAACAAGCCTAGATATAGTACTAGGGCAGTAATATTAAATGCTTAAGTACCACACATTGTTCAACTTATAGCTTAGTAATTTATTTAGCAACAACGTTATTCACTTCAAAATTAAAATCATTCTACAACTACTAGACACACAAAAACGCGTTTTACGACTCATTTTACACAAAAGTACCGAGTTTTATCTCAATTGGGGCACTCTAAACAGTCCTAGATCTAGTACCGGGGTACTACCGCACATTACAAGCTCAAATCTTACAATTATCTTTTTACTGTTGGTATCTTTTCATCAAAATAAACTTGTTTCAAGAATTAAGTACTCAAAATATTAAAATTTTTCAGCTGCAAATCTTAGTACTATTGTTATCACCTCAAAATTAAAATCATCTTATACCCACCAAACACACAACAACGCGTTCTACAACTAATTTTGTACAAAAGTATCAATTTTCTCCCCAATCCGTGCACTCTAAACAGTCCTAGATATAGTACTAGGGCAGTACCACGCATTTGCAATCTCAAATTTCGTCTTAGTGGTCCTAGAGTGATAATTTTTTCACTGTTCTTCAAAATTACAATCACCAACAAAAAACATTAAATTGTTTAAATACCGGCGTAGTACCACACATTTTCCAACTTATATCTTATTGATTTATTTAACAAAAACTTTATTTACCTTAAAATTAAAATTATTTTACAACTACTAAACACACAAAAACGCGTTTTACGACTCATTTTACACAAAAGTACCGAGTTTTACCTCAATTGGGGCACTCTGAACAGTCCTAGACATAGTACCGGGGTACTACCGCACATTACAAGCCCAAATTTTGCAATTATCTTTTCACTGTTGGAATTTTTTTATCAAAATAAACGTCTTTCAAGAATTAAATACTTAAAATATTATTTTTTTTAGCTACAAACCTTAGTACTATCGTTATCACCTGAAAATTAAAATCATCTTTTAACCACCAAACACACGAAAACGCGTTCTACGATTCATTTTATGCAAAAGTACCAAATTTTACCACAATTGGGGCACTCTAAACAGTCCTAGAGGTAGTACCGGGGCAGTACCACACATTTACAAGCTTAAATATCGCAAATATTTTTTTTACACAAGAATCTCTTTTTAATTAAACTTTTTTTAACAATTAAAAACACTAAAATTGATATTTTTAAGTATCGAGGTGGTACCACACATTTTCTAGCTTATATCTTGCTAATTTATTTTACAATATGATTCTTTACCTCAAAATTAAAACAAACCACAACTACTAAAGACACGAAAACGCGTTCTACGACTCATTTTGTACAAAAGTACCAATTTTTACACCTTTACACAGTCATAGATATAGTACTGGGGTAGTACTACGCTTTTGTAAGCTCAAATTTTGCCCTAGCAGCCCTAGAACAATATTTTTTTTTCAAAATTAAACTTCTTGCAACAATCAAGAACATAAAATATTAAAATTTTTAAGTACCGGGATAGTACCACAACTTATATCTTATTAATTTATTTAGCAACAACGTTATTCACCTAGAAATTAAAATTATCCTTTTACCACCAAACACACAAAAACGCGTTCTACGACTTATTTTATGCCAAAGTACCGATTTTTACCCCAATCAGGGCACTCTAAACAGTCCTAGAGGTAGTACCGGGGCAGTATCACACATTTAGAAACTTAAATCTCGCAATTATTTTTTAACATAAGAATCTCTACTTCAAATTAAACTTTTTTCAACAATTAACAACAGTAAATATTGACATTTCTAAGTATCGGGGCGGTACCACTCAATTTCTAGCTATATACTGGGGCAGTACCACGCATTTGCAAACTGAAATTTTCCCCTAGTAGCCCTAGAGCGATAATTTTTTCACTATTCTTCAAATTTGCAACAATTAAGAACACAAAATAATAAAATTTTAGTACCGAGGTAGTACCACAACTTATATCTTGTTATTTTTTTTACTAAACACACAAAAACGCGTTCTACAACTCATTTTATACCAAAGTACCGATTTTCACCCCAATCGGGGCACTCTAAACAGTTTTAGACATAGTACCCTGGTAGTACCACACATTATATAATTCTAGTGATGCCTCAAACCATCAATTTTTTGCTCTTGTCTCATCTTTAAATTATTATTCTCTCAGCTAGAAACCAGGAAATATCGGAGAGCATTACGTTTCAATTTACACAAAGTCGTACTTGCACGAGATGGTACTTTGCATAATAATACAAGATTTTAATAAAATTAGAGCTGTTTAAACGGTTGTTTAAAGTACCAAATTTGTGGGTTTGCTACTAAATGCCCGAAAGCAACATTTTTTATTGTTGTAACCTTTTTCGACTTTTGTTATCGGAGTGGTACTGTTGTGGTACTTTCGTAGCCTTGCAAAATAGGAAACGAATATTTACATTTTAAAATGCTTCTAATTAAGTACCTGTTTTTTAAAATCCACTTTCTTTATCTGATCGTTTGATTTATGGCTAGTACCAGTAGTACCAGCTGTAAAAGTGTGTAACTCTTATGTTTACATTCAATCAGATTATTCGCTTTATGTTTAAAAACTGTAAACAATATACTTACATAAAAATGGTGCAAATTAATAGTTTAAGTTTGGGGTAGTACCCAGGTGGTACCACATTTTTCCAAGCTCATATCTCAGCGAAAAATAACGCTAGAGTCGTGCTTCTTTCACTGTTGTGTTTCTTATCTCTTGTAGTTTTTATTCCGTTTGAATATAATTAAGACATAAAAACAATTCATAAATTAAAATAAATTAGCTTGTCTGCAGTTAAACTTTTATGGTCTTTTAACACGCCGTTGCATTATTTTTTTTTCCTCACAACTAAAAGCACTTTTTGTGTTTTCTTTAATGGTTTCCGAATCATTTAGCAAATGTATTTTTATAAATGGCCGGTGCAAAACCACCCACCACCCCTTGGATCAATTTACATTACGTCTAAAAGCCCGAATTAAATTTCCTTGTGAGTGGATTGAAAGCAACTCGTCCTAATTCCTCTCGCTCGACTCCAGCCATCTATTAAACTAATTACAACAATTATTTTATCTTTACCGAGAATATTCATCGTTCAACGATTAACCCTTGAAATTTTTAGATAACTAGAACATGGAGATCTTTCTTGTTTTCATTGCGAAATAATAGAGCGTGTTACAAGCGTGTTTCACGCACTTTAGTCCTGAATCGCAATTAGCGGCAATCAAAGCGAGAAAAACGGTGCGGATTTAGCGAAATTTCAATTCGAATCGAACACATCGACTGTGGATGAGCTAAACGATTTAATAACTGTTATAAAACCGGCTTTGGGCGATGCTCCAGGTGCCAGAGTAATGCTAAACGAATCGCCTCCTCATTTCCTACAATTTGTAATTTAGAGATAATTTCTACGTTGGCGAGTTCTACAGCAGTTTTTTGACGCAAGTACAAAATTTCAGACGAATCGGAACACTTTGGAGGGTTTTAGACAAAGTACCGCGGTCGTACCGCATATTCCGACGCTTGTAACTTCGGTCAGAGTTGGCCTAGAGCGGCCATTTTTCACCAAGTTGTCAAGTGTTAAATGCAGAATCTATGCTCTCTACTTGCAAAAAGGGCAAACTCGGTAGTACCATTTTTACGACCAAATTTAATATAGTTTCAATAAAAACAATAACAACGCTTTATTTATTCTACAACAGTTTTTTGACGCAAATACAAAATTTTTGACAATTTGGAACACTCTGGAGGGTTTTAGACAAAGTACCGCGGTCGTACCGCACATTCCAACGCTTATAACTTTAGTCATAGTTGGCCTAGAGCGGCCATTTTTCACCAACTTGTGAAGTGTTAAATGCAGAATCTTTGCTCTC